TTCCAAAATATTCTGTGTTCTGGCTCCTTTTGAGCTATTCATTGGTTTGAAAAAAAAATTTAATTGTTCACAATTAACTTCTTCACTAAATAAAAAGTATTATGTCAGGCGAGGTTCCTCATAAGTTTCTTTCAAATTCAAAAGTCAAATTAACATTAAAAATTGTAATAGAAGATTCACCTTGCACAAAATGAAAACGGTTTGCAGGAAAGCAACATTAATTTTTGAGGAGCTTTTGAATATAAAAATATTACGATATTAGATTTTCACAGGTAAATTAACGAATTTCCTTCTCAACTTTCGATATTAAGATGTTATTCAAAAACAAATTTTTGTAGATATTAAAATTTTCCACTAAATGTTAAAACAACCATTTTCTATTCATGGTAAAGTGTTCAAACTTTTTTTTTGAGCTATTTGTTATCGCCATGAGTGATGAGTCATTTTTCAATTAGAAATGTTTAAAAGTTTTTCATAGCTTACTTTAAAAAAAGCGGGTAAGTGGATGTCGCTCTGCTCTTCAGTAGATTACAAGTGGGTCACTGTGATAAATAGTGTTAAATTTGAATCCAATGGTTCAAAATTGTATACCTACGAAGAACGATTCTGAGCGAAGAATGTCAGCCTATTGTATTACTTAACGGGAGTTTACAATAATTTAATATGTTTGATGGTATTATTTTGATTAAAGTATTTATTTTACTATTAAGCATTAGTACCTACAACATGTAGGTAAAGTTCATTTTTGCCAAAAATAAATTAAATTTGAAAAGTCATTGTGTGAATAAAATATGATAATATACTCAGACACTCAGTTTCGAGTACCCACAAATAATATTTTTCAATTTTAATTTAATTCCATATTCTTAATTAAAATATGTAATTACGTCCAAATTTAAACAAAAGAAAACCATGCTAATATATTTTTAATGTTTTTTCGAATTCTATATTGTGACAAAATATCAGGCCCCTGAATTAAGTTGTCAAGCTTTTTGATCCAAGGAACAGCGAACAAGTAAAAAAAATTTCAAGTATATGGAGTGATACGACCAACACTGTGTAGATAAATTAAAAATATCTATAATTATAGTATTTCATTTTTAAAATACAACAAAATAAGATTAATCGTTCAATGAGAAATCCAGTGAATATGCAATGTTGTAAAAATATTAGAACTTCAAACGCTCTTAGAAATTAAATTTGACTTAACGGTAGACAAACTTAGGAAGAATCTTGTATTACATTTTCTAATCTTGGGTTTAAAATTAAATATTTTTATAAATTTCTAACTCAAACATTTTTTAATTTTTATGATTTTTACGTACTTTGTCAACATTTTAAATTCAGACGCTCATAAAAATATAATGTGGATTTGCGTTAACTTTTTTTTTAATTTCCAATAACAACGAGGATATGATATGTATGACATTTTGAAGATTTTGACCAAGCAAACATTTTTCTATCGATATTAGTTTTAAAGAAACTAATAATAATCCAAAATTTCTTACGTCTATAAATATCTCAACATGAGTCAAAACATTTCGAAAATTGTATGGTGGGAAGAAAATGCTAAAAATTACATTCAGTGAAAGTTGCATGTATGTACGATCATTTGTTTTAGAGTTAAATCAAAAACCGGTTTTGCTTGAAAATTCTCGTTTTATCTCAAATTTTTTGTTTGTTTTCCCCGACTCTCATGAAAATTAAATTTGAATTTTAAATGTTGACCTCTTGAATGCACCAACTAAATTCACTTTCTCACCGGAAAAGATGCTGAAGTTGAAAATCAAATCATTATTTCGAATACGTATCATGTATACAGTCACAGATAATTAAAAAATAACATATTGTAAAATCAAAACATTCATCGCTTCACTAGTTCAATCAGAATCTAAAATATTTATAGAAGATTCCAAGTTTTTTACTTAAAACAAAAAAAAAAGTATACTGAAACGGAAATTTAATTTTTATGAACTTTTGAGTTTAAAGTTGTTACGATATTGGATTTTCACCGGTAAATTAACGAATTTTCATCTCGATTTTTGATATTTTATTGCAATTCAAAAACGATTAATCGTACACTTGAAATTTTCATCAAATATTTATATTAGCGTTTCCCATGCATGGTAAAATATTTAAACTATTTTGATTCTTTTTGAATTATTAATAGCCATCAAGTTTGTAAATTTTTTTCAGTAAGAAATTCAAAAATTTTTCTAGCTCTATTAAAAAAAAAATGACTGTAATGTTGTGTTATTTATAACTATTAGACATTTTCGATTTATGTTCTTTTTTTTTCAACTTCTAAATTTAATTATACAAGTATTACTCATAATTATTTTTTTTAACCAATGATTTATGATTTTAAGTATAGTTGAATAATCCATGTCTTATTATTAAAACGACATGCTATCAAAAAAACAAGCGCTGATTACTCAACTCAATACAAACGTTTAAATTTATATTATTTTCCCTCTGTAATGATAACAAATTGTTTTTAAATATTGTAATATGTTTTGGTGATTTTTACATTCATATAGCTCTGAGTACTGAATAGTCAATTTAATTCTATCTAAATCGATTTTTGCCACCGATTCTTCTCGGCCTTTGTTTCTTAGTGAAATTATTATCAAAAATATAACAGAAATTACTTGTAACATGATATACAATTAATACACTCATAATTCCCACATTCCCAGATTATCGAAGTATTATTTATAAATTTGGCAACATGTGTCCGCAATCGTGTCGTTTTCGGGGGTCCATTGTTGAACTATAAACGTTCGTAATCGTATTACTAAAAAGGTCGCCCCGATAAGCACCGTCTGCAATTGTGTACCACTGTGCTCGACAACTAAATTGTACAGCAGAGCAGCAATCACTTGTCATCCTTTTTTTATATTGTTATTTGGAGTAAAAAATTATAATGAAATTAAATCTCATAGTGGCCATAGTACATAATATATAAGAAATGATCCTCATAGGTGCTATGATAGTGATATTAGTGGTATAGACGCATAGTGCTAGTGCATATTGTTAACAAATATAATATTTTGTTAGTACGGATACAATTATTAGAGTTCGTCTGATGAATCGACCTCAAATCCGCACCATTTGAGGCTCTGAGCAACATTTTCCTTCCAATTTGAACAGCTTCTATTGTCGGGTTCCCTGTATATGAAACTACAGTACTTTATACCCACATGTGTTGTCTCCGTCTTACAAGAGCGTAACGTATCAAATTTTACGTTCGGCAGATCACGCTTAGCTCTGCTTAAAAAGAAGAGTGAATTGACCTCTTATTGAAATTATAAGTAAGATTATTACGGAGGGCTTCTCGTGATCTTTTTATTATATTTTAATTTTTAAAGAGAGCTATGAGTATTTTAAGCTGTACACACAATTTTCAATTTTAAAATACTCATAACTCTCTTTAAAATTAAAATATAATACAAAGCCCATGAGAAGCCCTCCGTAATAAACTTACCTTTGATTTTAATGAGAGGTCACAATTCACTCTTAATTTTTAAACCAACAGAGCTAAGTGTGATCTGCTGAACTTAAAATTTGATATGTTACGCTCTTGTAAAACGGAGACAACACATGCGGAGAACGTCCTCTTAATTTAAATTTTAAAAGTTCAATAAATATCAAAAGTCACTAAATCGTGTTTAAGAGACTATAAGCTCATTATTGATTCCATTCTCAAATGTTTAATCGTTGTTCATGCAAGTATTGCTGCCCGGCATTAGAATTTAGATCATACAATCATCGGCATAACTAGGGGGGCTTAGCCCCTCTGGCCTCTATATGTGTATTTAGCCTCCTATAATGTATATTATACTTATTTTGTTTTTAATGATGAGTTTTATACTTTCATTTCATTGTTTATTTTTAATTTTGGAAGACGGTTACGCTTACTGTGGTGGAGGTGTGGGGCCCCCAAAGTAATGTAATTATTAAATCCTAGTTACGCCTATGCCTATGTATAAAATATAATATGTAGTATCTACATTCTACACACACATTAAAACAATTCTCCAAAGTTAATGATTTAAGGTCAACTAGTACGAAATAATGAAATACCTATTCGAATAATAAAAGAGTATAATTTTATTCTCCATCCATGGCTGTCACGGGCCACGGTCGTAGACGCAATGAGAAAAATCGAGGCTCCCGTACCCCTCCCCCCCCCCTCATCTGGATCCATCACTGCACTTGAAATACCGAAGTAGGTGTATCAGATCTATACAATATGTGGATGGCTAATCTTTTCGAGCTCATGATCCCAGGTCTATTGGAGCTGACACGAAATCGGTACTTAGTTACTATACCAAAACAATCGAGCAATGTTTTCGATTTAAAGTTCTAATACGTATAAGATATCTAATTTGAACTGTCCGAATACCTGGACTCTATTTAGACACATGCGCAATGGCCAGTGGCACAAATCAGATAATTTTTACAGGGCTCAAATCTATGACTTTACCAACCATCATTATGAGTTTATCAGTATATTATATACAATAAATATAAATTATAATTATCAATTACCTTTACCGGCAAGCTATCTACTAGGATCCACCATATGGGTAGGTACACACAAATCTACCAGCAATTTTTTTTTTTTTTTGGTAGGGAAGTCCTCGCCGTGCATCTGAATTTTTGCTACTACAGATATAGGTTTTTTTTTCAATCCTTGCAGTGGAACTCGTTCAGAATGTTTTAAACCTTTTTTTACGGTTTAAATCGCTAACATCTCTCGATTTGTTAATAACCATATATTAAATTATTTAAAATTAACTTATCTCAATTATCTATTGTTTTACTATTATACTCTAATCGCTTTCAAATAATTTAAACTGGAGAATATTTTTAAGAAAAATACAAATTCATTTTGCATTGTATAGAATAAAATAATAAAAAAAATAATGAAAACTGCAATAAAAATAACAACTTGTTTTTATTTTTTCAAAATATTCATTTGTCTGTTTAACGTGCCAGGAATATACATTTAATTCACCAGGCACCAAGATGATTACTTTTCTAGTTATTTTTGATAATATAATTAAAAAACTAAAAGGCACAAACTAGAATATTATAAAGAAAACATTTGTAATAAAAAAATATAAAACTTCAATATTTGAATACAATTAATTAAACAATTATACAAAATATTACATCATAAAAACATAACAAAGGTTAAATGGTAAAACTCTATACAAAAATAATATTTTTAATATTCAAACTTACTGATATTACCTGTAGAGAACAAAAAATGTGAGTCAGAGACTAGTACATTTTACTTTCTTTTTATTCCATTTTTGAGGAACAACTTTAATAGAAATATTTCCAACAGTCTTAACAAATCTATTAAAAACATTTTTGGTTTTAGGCAGCAGATTGTGTTCTTCACTAGAAAACTTTATCACTTCCTTTTTTTCAACAACTGTGGTATTGGTATTCGTGGATTCTTCGATCTTTAGCTTCTGGCAACTGTCATTTGCCTCTACACTAATTAAACAATAATTATCAATACTTAAATATAAAAGCTAAAAATCAATTAAATGATTAAATTTCTAACCTGTTGGTCAATGCTAGATTCGTATAAGGTGATACAGTTATCCTTAGTTTGTTCCATGGATCACAAAAAGGATTATATTTGTTAAAGAATAAGTGAACATAACATTTGAGTTCTTGTGGTAATATACAATCACCAAATACGCATGGAATAATTTTAGGTAACCGTTGTTCTATAATAAAAATAGGTACCAAACAATATGATTAAACCAAAACAAATATAAAAAATTATTCTTAACCTTACCAATGGCTAATGACTGTATATAATTCATAATAAATCTGTTCCAAGGGCTGTTACAAAAATCATTTGAAACTATAATGATTAACCAATTACAGCGATCCGATATCAATTTTACTATAGACTGATATTCGAACATAACGCCTGGCCTTAAATCTCGATCTTTTAAGCATAGCTGAAAAATATAAAAAATAATTAGTAAACCTGTTCAACTTGAAACAGGCTTATATTTAAAGGTATTATAAGATATATATATACTATTTTTTAGGGACTATGTAGGGAAAATATTAAAGTTGAACGTGTGAAAAATAAATTATTAATGGACTGTAGATGTGTTCGCAACAATATCATCTTACTTAAAGAAACTAAAAAACTCTGTTCGTAACACCAGAAAATTACATGGTAGTATGAAGTTAACAAATTATTGAATATTATACATTTATTAAGTATGAATCAAGTTTATGTAACTCTTGAATTGGACCGATATAAGCTTGTTTTTTATATTTATCATAAGACGCCTAAGATATATAATATCTCCAGTTTGAGAAATGGACCAATTCCATACTTTGGTAAATACAATACCACTTAACACACTGAAGTAATTGAATATATGATAAGAAAAATGTCAAGTAAAAAACATCAAATTTACTTTTATCTAAAAATCACAACTATCGTATAGGTAGTATTTGCTATGGCTGTTTTAAAAAATTTACAAGGTGCAAAACGTCAAATAAAATATCAAAAATCACAAAAATAGTATGGTATAGCCATAAAAAAATATGGGATATCTCTTTCCCTGCTTGGATACTCTTTACATTTATTTTGTAACTTTGCATAAATGTGTTGTTTTTTTTTAATGTCCCCAATACATTTTGAGCTAATTTTGATTTGTTATTTGTTTCCTCCATTTGAATTTCGTTTTTAATACCCATATAGAGGGGTGGCATGGCAATGTCTACAGTTGTTACATAAAGTGGCGATTATAATATTATATTATAATTTTAATATGTAGGTAACTTATGACTTATAATAATAATAATAAACAATATATTACTTAAAATAACTTATAGCTTTGTTGGTTTTTTGTGTTGTTTTTTACCAATTACTCTTTTAAACATTATATTTTTATTACCTTTAGCTTGTAATCAATTTCTAATTTTTCTACAACAACAGTAGCTGATTGTATATCTGCATTATCATACAGTAAAAATGCATCGTATCTTGAAAGAGGAAGACCATTGTTGGATGCATTTATATCATCTAAAAATCATTTAAATTCATTCATATTTTAATATTTTTTAACAAGTTTAATTTTAATAAAACTCACCTAAAGTAATAATATTGATGTCAAAATCATTTGGTACTACCGGAGATGGATTTGCTAAAGAACATTGTTCTTTATAATATATAATATCAGAAACTAGAATCATGAATACATAAAATTAATGTCTACTTAATTATGCAAGGTTATATGCATGTAATATGTATAAATAATACTCACTAATTAATTCTTCCGTCTCTTCCACAACATCATACCTGTCTATTCGCTGTAAACACCGTATAAAATGTGCTATAGTAGTTTTTGCTTCACAAAACTTGAATATTTTGCCAATTGGGTCGGTCGGATCACATCCAGATGGTATTGTATAGTTCAAAAGTGTGCATAATCCTCTCCAATCTCTATAAAAGTTTTAACATTCACATTATGATTATTAGTTTTAACTATTAGGCTCAGGTATTTTACTTTTACCAGAATCTTTAAAGTGACAACGTTAAGCGGGTATTAGCAGAACATATTAATATTGTAATACTACCCTCCTAGATTTTAAATTAAAATTTGTATTTATCCATTTATGAATAGAAAATATGCATGCTCGGACAGAGCCAAAAAAAATGTACGTCTATCAAATATCATTTGCCACAAAAACCTATCGCTGACAGTTGAATCATTATGCGTTTTTAACTTTCACATGGACCCAATAAGATTTTATAAAAAATATATAGAAATGTTTGTAAACAAATGGACAATTTCCTACCTGGGTATGTTTTCGGGTGAAGGGATGACTTTCTTGGCATTCAACATGCACGACAATCGTTCCCTGGTCGGTAGCCGGAGAACGGATATCGTATTATTGGCAAAGTCTTTCGAGTGTTCGTCCGACACGGTCAAACAGGACGCAGGATCCATAATAACATGCGAAAAAAATGTTTGTCGCGGGATGAGCAAACGAAAATCCGACGAGCTGGTGAACAATTATTGCGTCGCATTGATCAACGATCCATAATAATGATTGATCGGCCTGGGCATTATTGGAACAATAACAGTAATTTCCATATTTTGGTGAATTCCACAGATCTTTTGACTTTTGAGTATTCATTTACAATAATACGCCGTTGCCTGTCACTTGTTGCGCTCGCGGCTCGCCAACACGTTATCAGAACCAGAGCGGGAGCTTTCTCTTGGCAATCGACAATCATGACGTCACGGCCCGTGGGTGTGTGATAAAAATTTAAAAAACAGTGCGTCATCCGTAATTGGTCGGATACTTTCCCGCGGTATTTCCATCTTTGAATTGAACACCGTTTTCGCAACCAGCGCGTCGATCATTCGTCGCCATGGCAAACGCAACAAATCGCGATCGGTGTTTGATCGGTGGTTACACAACACAGACACAAACTGGTGACGGAATAGTATTATATTATTAATAACAATAATATCAAATCGTATTTGTTCCGTTGCGAGATGCCGAGGCGTTTGTTCATCGGATAGGTAGGTTACGTTCTGCACTGTGTATTGCTTGGAAATACGTACTACATCGCTGCAAATTGCAACTGTCATGTTGTGGGGTTCGAGCCCGTGTCTTGATCTGGCCGCGTACAACGACGTCGGCGACGGACATTTAAATATATTAATCGTGAGCGCCGGCGATACTCGCCACTTGCTGCAAACGCTGGCAAAACGGTACAGACATTCGTACAAAAAGATCAGCATTTATGTGTACGAACCGGTCGTCGACATGTACGCCAGACAAATACAGCAAATAGCGTTGGCTCTTGAACCGATCGATCGGATTAGCTTATCGTACAAGGTATTCAATTTTTCGCAATTCCCTCAAATATTAGGGATTTTATTAATATTAAGAAAAAATTAATTATAATAAATACATTATAGGCGTCCACTTAAATACATATTGTATAAAATATCTGTAACAATAGATAGTTTATGTAGTTGAGCTATAATTATAAACAAAAGCTAATTTAAAAAAAAACAACAATAGGTAGGTAATTAAAAGATTTTAAGATTTGAGTCCTGAAAGGACCATCTAAAAATGAACAATTATAAAATAACAGTTTTTACATTAATGGTCTGAAAAGGATAATTCAAACAGTTTAAAATTAAAAAAACAAATATTTTTTTCCTTTATAATGACTAAAAAAGAAAATAAGACTATTAGAAAGAAAAACCATTGATAAAATGTCTTATTGATTTAGTATATTGTAATAATATTGATACGGTAAAAAAAACATAATTGTTTTGAATTAGATATAGGTAATAGCAGTGACTTACTTACTTACTTATGATTTTAGAGTATTAAAATACTTTAAATTATATATTTATAGTAATTAAGTTACTTTTTTTAGGTCACCATTAATATAAGAACATATTTACATATATACTAATAAAACTAATAAAACAAGTATATTATAAATTATACCATTTAGAGATATAAGAAATTATAACTATTATACCTTGTATGTTAAATTTATACTCCTATCTTTTTGACTAGCATACATATTTATAATGTTATCATAAAATGGTTCAGTTTCTTTAAGTTTTTGAACCAAAGGCTTTTCAATTGACAGTATTGCAAGAGAACTCAAATGTTGTTTGGAAATATTATTTCGCAAATATTTTTTGATTTTCTTGAGACAAGAAAAATGTCTTTCAATTGACACACTAGTTGACGGTATGGTTAAAATAAGAGCAAATAGTTTATGCGTTTCAGGTAAAACATCTCTTAGTGAAACATGTTCAAAAATTTTTAACAAGTCATAAATGTGTTCTAGACTTTGATATTTTACATCATTATACAAAACCTCCAATTCCACTTTTAACTTTTTTACATCATTAAATAAATGTGAGTAAGTGAATTTCAATTCATTAAAAGCATTTTCTGGAAATTGACTAGAATATTGTTTAAATTTAGTTACATCAGCGAGTTGTAAAAAAAGTAATTTATTTGAATCTTGAAATCTGATATTTAATTGCATTAGAATATTATCAATAATTTCAAAAAATAACATTTTAAAAATTGATTGATTGTTCGAGTCATTTTTTGTAGCTTTAGGAGGTTTTGTGAGTAAACCAGCTTTATCAAAAAAAATTAAAAATTCAGACTCAGTCCTTTTTTTATTTATTAGATCACATGTCAAACTAATTTTTTTCATGCAATACTCTAAATCAAACGACATATTTTGGAGTATATTAAATAAATTGTCAGTAAATGTGAATATATCACTAAATATCAATGCTAAAAAAGCAAATTCAAAAGATTTTACGTTTTTTAAATGACCGATAGCACCACAAATTGACTCAGATGATGATTTTGGATCTTTGCTAATGAAATCAAAAACTTTTATAAACCCAGACCATTCATTAACTAATATATGCAAAATTTTTGACTGTGAGGACCATCTAGTTTGGGCGAATTGAGGGATTGGTTTCCCTACAATATTATCTACAACATTAATACGTGATGTAGAATTGTGAAAATATGTAGCTATACCACTTAAATTAGCAAAAAATATCCGACATTTAACATTAATACTACAACCTTGTTTCAATAATAAATTTAATTTATGGGCTAAGCAATGCGTAAATAAAGCATGAGGCGCAACCTCTTTAACCCTATCCTGTAAGTCAGTTAAATTCCCTGACATCACACATGGCCCATCATAACATAAGGCAACTAACTTATTTTCTATATCAAATTCATGTAAAACAGAGTAAATTAAATTAAATAAATCTTGAGCCGAGTGATCTTCACTAACATTATGAAAACCTAGGAAACGCTCGACCAATTCAGATTTATCTGTAACATATCTTACAATAATTGAATAATGTGTTTTTTGAGAAATATTTTTAGTGTAATCAATTTGAATAGAATAAAATGTACATTGTCTAATTTCTCTTTTAATTTGATTAACTAAAAATTCAGAAATACATGAAATTAAATCATTTTGTATGGACTTTGACGAACCTGGAAATGTGTTTTTCATACTTTTATAATGATTTTGTATTTCTTGAGAGCACCAAATAATATGCATATCAAATAACTCTCTAAAATTCCCTTTATTTAATGAATCACTGCTTTCATCATGACCTCTAAATGCCAACTCTTGTTTTCCCAAAAATAAAACCAAATCAATTAAGTGCTCCATAAACAAACGGTTCAATCTAACGTTTTCATTATAATTTTTTTTAAAAAAATTATCAATCAAATTACCATGTCCATTAATAACATCAACTACAGTAAAACAATTTTTTTCTATGTTTTTCAACCCTAAATAATTATGAATATGTTCTCTGGAAGACTCGTGGATTTTAAGAGCTCTAGACAAATTTTTTAAATCACAATACCCAACAGTATTCCATACAGACTTTGTTTGACTTATTAACAAACACGGCCAACAAAACAATTTTTGGGCGTAATGACTTCCGCACAACCATGAGTGTAGCTGATATAAATTTGCATTAAATGATCTACAGAATACCTTATTATGTTTTTTGTCGGGAGATAAAACTGACAAAACAGGAATAGGTCTACCTACTTTAAGTAAATCGTTTTTATTAACTGACTTCCAACTTAGAAATGGCGTTTCCAATAACATAACAATTGGGTCTGTAACTGGATTCATGACGAAAACTTAATTCTGATTTTTGTTGAATGTTCTTGAATTCATTAACAAATCAAATCAATCAATTAAACTTTGACATTTATGACATACGACTATACGAGTAAATAAGAGTAATAAATAATAAGTAAAAAATTATAAGCCATACAGAACAAATTAATCAAGAAAATATAAGAAAATTTAAGAAACATTACATATTATGTAGGTATACACTATACATTTTAGTGCAATCTGACGATTGAAACAGATAACATCAAGATTACACTATAGCAATATAACAAAATAAAATTACATAAATCCAATGGTTGTCATTGGTGGTTGGTGAGAGACGACAAAAAGTGTCGCCTCTGGTTCATATTTTGCGCATGCGTATTTAATAATATTACACACGAGTTTGGTGACTGGTGAGTGCCACAGCAGGCTGCTGGCTGGCGCTATCGGGCGTGGGTGCCGCCGCCCGGTGGTCAGTGCTCAGTAAGTTGTAGCACAGAACAATAATTTGTATAGTTGTAGTTACTCGGCTTTGGTTATAGATAATAATAAATGATAATAGACGTGAACACTGAGCGGACTCCAGACAGATAGCAACAAGTTTAAATGCCTAATTTTTGTATGATAGATTTTTTAGTAAATAATATATTCTATGATTATCTATCTATAGTACAATTATTTTACTACAACCCTTATTACTGTACCTTTACGATCTAAGGCATTTGCTCACCCCTTATTAGCTTCATTGTTCATAATCTAAGGTACTAGTGCCGTAGCTAGGGGGGGGGCAATTAAGGGCTTAAGCCCTCCTCCCCTCCTCCGAAATAACAAAATTATTATATACTGTGACAACTTAGCCCTAGCAATAAAATATTGTAGCCCCCTTGCTGAAAAAAAATCTCAACTACATCCCTGTAAGGTACAAACTTAAGTCTAAAATGATGGTCGAGTAGGGGACTTTTAGTCATTGCCCGATATAATTCCTGCATTTCTAATCTGTCTAATTTACATGCTTAAACTTAATGCTTCATAATTGATTTTTTTTTTCCAAAATAAAACGGTAAATCAGTCAAAAATGATTCAGTTTTAACTACATTGATGAGGTAAGTGTATTAAATTAGCATTTTTTACTTCAGAAATGTGCGTGAGGTACCTTACTTGCTTCACCACCAATTACCAAAGCCACAATTGAATTCAACATTAAATTTTATTTTTTTTTATTTTTTATTGTTGAGAACTTGAAATATTATACATTCTAATAAAATTAATAATGATCATGTTAATATTAAAATAGGGACATGGAGTAATAAATTATAAATACATATGTCACAGAAGATAACACTGTACCTAATAAACAAAACGGCTGTCTACTAATATACGGTCTACAATAATTAATTATATTACAGAGTATGTGGTATACAAATCAAAATACATAACATATTTTAAATATATAATTTCTAATAAATATACACTATACAGTTATACAAAATATAATAATTCAACAAATTTGTATATTTTTCAATTTTAAATATTAATATTTTAATAACATTTTCAGGTACGTACTTGGATGGAACTTTATGGCAATACCCTTGTAAAGCCAAATACAAACAGTTATCTAATCAAAAAATCAGCTCAACTTATAGATATCATTACTGACGAAACAGCTAGACAGCACTGTTTGCCCATTGTGCAATTAGATGCACTTAAATACAAAGAAAGGGACACTATTGAAACCATATTCAAATATTGGAAAAATAATAATGGTTTCAACATTTCAACAATGTGGGATAAGAGAGTACGAAACCATTTGGGCACAAGGTATGATCACCGGAACAATGTGTTTGATTGGGATTTACATATGACTCTTCATTATATTGATGGAGGTAACAGAATCACAAATCAGGAGTACACATATTGGCGTGACACTGGTGTAGCTTACACATTCTTAGAGACGGATTGTACTGAACCTAATTATACATTTGCATTAGCCCTATTGAAAGATGGGGACAAAATAACTGCAATGAACTATTTTGGAGACATTATAAATGGTCCTTTTCCATCTTTTGGCTTAGACTGCGAAGACAATGATATGTTGAAGATGGGTAATATGAAACCACTAAAACGTTCTGTGGACCTGACTGAGAGAAATTTAACACGAATGTTCTATGAAATAGAAAACCAAAAGCCTTACAAGCACAAAGGTAAGACTGATAATCTCGGAGTAATTATAACTGAACTACCGAATGTGAAGATCCAAAATGTACAAACTACATCACCTCAAGTAAAAGTTATGTCGGAACATTACCCTAGTATTAATGCTAGTGACGTGGAGATCCACTTTATTCCTCGCACAGCTATGACAGATTACCCTACATTTGATAGATATAAGAAGTTTTTTGATATAATGTATTGTGGTCATATGTATCTTGAAAAAATTAACTTTCATATAACATCTATGATTAAAGATGGAGGCATAGTTTTAATGGAAACTCGAAAATTTATTGTTAATTATAAGGAGAAGCAACACGATGAATTCAAACAGAAATTAATAGATTTAATGAAAAACTGTAAATGTGTGTCATCGGAGGATATTGATGTAGTTAAGAATGCTGTAATTAAATTTAATAAGCAGCATTGAGTTATAATAATAGTATTTTATTTTTAACAATAAATAAGCTGACATTAATTTCTGAATCTATAATCCACAAAATAGTAAGATAAAATACTTTGTTACCAGAATTTTGGTTTATATTTAATTTTCAAAGCTTGAAAAATACTACTGAAAATTATTATAATACTATCAAAGTTTCGAGTAGTGTTTTATTGTTTGATAGCTTTTGGTTCTTCCTTGTTGGTCACTCCAGAAAGTAGACTCTTGATGCGTGCTATAGCTCTACCAGGATTCAAACCCTAAAATAAACATTTTATAATTAAAAATATAAATATAAATTCAAGTATGCGTATACAGACCTTAGGGCATGTCTTGGTACAATTCATAATTGTGTGACAACGAAAAACTGAAAAAGGATCTCTCATTTTATCTAAACGTTCAGCTGTAGCTTTATCTCTCGAATCAATAATCCAACGATATGCCTTAAATTAAAAAATGTAATTATTGATTAATTTTTTTATGTTGTACAACATAAACACAATAATAGAATTTCTTCATGACCAATAACCAATGGGTAATTGTGAGTATATTTACAAGAAATTAAAAAAATTAGTGTAGGTTCACATTTCCTGTAGGCAATAAAATGAATGTTATGAAACATTTTTATGTTAACAAATTTTATTGAGAAACAATATGTTTATAACTATAAATTAATGTTTAAAATATTAAACTGGACATAATAAACACCCTCCAAGTCTTAAGGAATCTATTAATATGACTTTTATTGAAAAAGGTCAAGAGCCTCTAGCTAACAAAAAGACAAGCATCCATTTTTTATGTATATAGATTAGTTGTAAACCAATATTAACCCTTATTATTCTAGGTATCAATATTTTGAACTTCATTGCGTTTTGTTCTACCACCCACATAAAAATGATGAACAAATACTACTATTATGTGAAACAAAATAAATACTTAAATAGAATATGCATTTTATCAGTGAAAATCTAAGGATTGCGTCCCAAGGAGCCATGGCCAGATGTAGCCGCCTAGCCGGTTTACTTTATTTTAAAAAGGTCATAGAACCTGGATTAATTGGGTAAATATCTTGATTTGCATTTGTACAAAAGTTGAGAACCACTGCACTAATATATATATATAGTAGATGTATATCAATCAGAATAATAGTGGAAGAGGATAGTAGAATCCTATTTAAGGACTAGTTTACTAGAAGGATAGATGTGTTATCCATTCAAATATCTCACATTTAATTTAACAATTTTTATATGTATTTACAACAATAGCATGATCTTAATACAACTTCATTAGTTGTACACAAGTAAACATAAATAAATTTAAACAAATACATTTTAAAATAAAAGCCCACCATTCTAATTTTAAATGCACACTTGTTGAAAATTAAGAAACTAATTAAATGCAGTTTATATTACTACAGAATCTTCCTGTTTTTTCTTGATATAGTATTTCTCAGCAAGTTAATAGGATATTTTTAAATTGTATTACAGACTGATGATATTTATTACACAATTGATAATAATTCAAACTATTGTTGTTTCTTAATCAGTACGTTTATTATATCTATTCGGCTTTACATTAATTATTGTAAAATTAGCACCTCCAAAAAATTATAATTCAGTAAACGTTGTTTGAAGAAATAATTTTCTCAAGTTTAAAGAGTGTTTCATTATTTGTGTTTTCTAAAGTAGATAAAGGATCCACCCACAGAACATAATATACATTTAATAATATTATAAAAAATTAGTTATTAATTATTACAATACATTACTAATGACATTTCAATTTTCTAGAATATAGTTGATACCTAATGGTGTTTCTTTTTATAAATTTGCAATTTTGATTCGACGGTACCAATTATAATACATATATATAAGCAATGGCAGACTAAAGGACTCAATTTTAACGCAGCTGCGTCAACTTTTCAAAGAGGGTGGTGCCACCCTGTGACTATGGAGCAGAATTACATGCTAAGACTCAACCTCTTGGCTTTTTCGTCCATATTTTATTTACATCATAAATTTGTTATAAGTAATTGTGGTGATGGTGGTAAATACTTAATTATAGAAATGTGTCATTTAAAATTTAAGTTCAGTCCGCCACTGTAATAATAGATAGATTTATTCTAATGTATTAAAAGTAGAAAAGTGGGCGAGCAAAATATGATATTATATTATACAAGTAATGTATTTTAAAGGTATTAGAACAAGAAGTGTGGGGACTGAGCCCCCCACGAGTCTGTTTCTTTAAATATGTAAAGCCCCCACATGTCAAAAACTGAAGTTGTGCTTATGCATACATATACAAATAAATAAGTGTATATTAATGATGGTCACAATAATTCACTAGTTCATACTCAATAAAATAATTTAAATACAATTATACCTGCATAAGAACTGCCGGTCCAAGATATTTCTCAGAGTTCCACCAGTATGAAGGGCATGATGTGGAACAACATGCGCACAAAATACATTCATACAAACCATCCTAAAATATATAATATATATTAGATTAAAAACATATTTAAATATAGCGGTGATAAATCACTTACAAGCTTCTCTCTATCGTATGTATGTTGCAAATGTTCTTTTTTGTCGGTTGGTGTTACATCAGTATGTAACCATGGTTCAATAGAAGCGTACTGTTTGTAAAACAATTTCATGTCTGGCACTAAGTCCTTGACAACATACATATGAGGCAATGGATATATTTTCAATGGCTTTGACAAATCAGTATTGACACCGCTATAACATAATATACATAAATTACACGATTATAAAATAAAACAACTCGTACAATTCAAAAACAAAGATTACAAACCTAATACAGGCTAATGTATTGACTCCTCCAATGTTCATAGCACAAGAACCACAAATACCTTCACGACAAGAACGTCTAAATGTCAATGTTGAATCTTCAGAGTTCTTGATTTTAATCAATACATCCAAAACCATAGGTCCACAACTGCAAGTACAAATATGGTTCATTTGAATTCACATTATTTAAATGATACAGTACTTACGAACTCAGATCAACCTTGTAATCTTGCATTTTTGGCTTAACTTCGGGAGTTTCCGGATTCCATCTATATACTTGGACAGTTTTGATTCTTGGCGTTTTATCTACAGCAGCCCCATCACTAGCTGCTAAAGCACTTGATATATGAATCTGCTTAATTTGCTGCAAATAAATTACTTACAAGGTGAAATTACACAATATTACATAATAATAGTTACAAAAACAATTGTACTGACCTGTGTGAAGGGTTGTTTTAGTAAACGCATGGCAGACGTTTCCACAATGCCTAACCCAGCCATAATGTTAATCAAAATTATAAATTCAACAAAACTATTTGTTTTCAGAAGAGGTAAAAGGAATAGAACAACTATGACAATTTCAGGCTCAGGAGTTGGTTGGGAATTGCAACTTGGGACATAGAAAAGAGGTTTTCTGATTAGAAACATATGATTAATGATTATAATTGTTGATAATTGTTGTTATTTAAAATCCAGTGTAGCCATTTTGTCTGTCGTACATTTCTATGTTATCAGCTTATCACTATTACTATTGTTCAGTTCGGTGATATAACTTTTGCTTTTCGACTTACTTCCAAAAACAATTCTCATTCTTATGAGAAAAAGAAAACGTACATAAATAAATAAATATTATCTGCCTACACACTATTTCAACTTAGTCCGCTCATAACCGCGGCTAGACGTTAGGTCATAGACTCATAGACAAAATATAATGAATTACACGTTTATAACTTCACTAGCTCATGAGTAGGTAGTTGTAATTATATTAATTCCTACCTTAGAGTTATATAACTTCTACTCCAAAGTACTGGATTAGTTCAGACACATTAATACATTATCGCTGTGCTTCAGATCTTTTGAAGCCAGTTTTTCACGACTACATATTTACGTCTGTCCAAGACTGTCGTCGTTCTTGTATGGATCACAATGGAGCCAAGTTAATTTAGTACCATTGATTCAAATATTATATTACTCAGGAATTATGAAATCAATGTTAGAACTTACTAATGTAGTATTGTAGTCTAGTAGTGTCTTCTTGTCGCTCATAATCTCTGTATTAAATAATTATAATTAAACTTTATCTATTAATACTTAAACATTGATCTTCAAAAAGTCTTGCCGTTTTTAGTTGTAAATTTATACAGGCTGATCAATTAAGTGTCTACACTCATAATTTCAAAAAGTTACAACATTGTTGAAAAATTTTTTTGCATATTTAATGCAATTGCAAAACAGCGTTTTCTGAAAAAAATACTTTTTACTATTTTTTATTGCTATCGTTTTTTTAAGTTTTTTACATTTTTAAGTGACACTATGCATTTTTTATTTCATGTACCGAAATATAATATTATTTAGAATATTTTGATCCACAGAGACCAAATTTCAGATAAGCAGTTCGTTAGTTATAACTTGAAAGCATTTAAAATTTAGATGGCAGAGGCGAGTGGTACAAGGGTACCCCACAAAATGTTGTCTCGCCTACTCCACTAATCAGTATTTAAATTCTTATAAAATTAATAATAAGTTATAACAAATGAACTACTTCTCCAAAATTTGACTTTTACACATTGGAAATTGAAATAATTTGAAATATTCTACTATGGAATATGAAATAAAAACTGTATGATGACGTTCAATAAATTAAGACTTAAAAAGAAAATACATAGTAAATAATATTTTTTTTTTTTCAGAAATGTTATTTTGAAACTACAGTCGAATCCGCTTTATTGGGACACATCGTTTGCATGTTATTTTGTCCCAATAAAGCGGTTGTCCCAATAATCAGAAATACAAAAATGAACATACATATATACATTTTTTGAAAATATTTTATTATTGACTTTATTTGAATTTTTTATTACATTACAAACAGAAAAACACGGTATATAACTTAGTTATTTATAAATTGTTATATCAAATTATATAAAAAAATATTTTTCAAAATAATGAGTGTATACCATTCTAACTTATGGTGTAGACACTTAAATGGATCACCAGCGCTGGTATAAGGTATTAGCTAGGGTATATCATTAAACTAAATTTAATAAATTATAATTTTGAAGACCCGGAACTGCTAATAAAAATTAATTTTAGAATGAATATAAGAATATATTTTTAACTTCGAATAAAGTATCTAGTACGACACCACGACAAAATCTATAAGCCATAGGTATATATTATTGTACATAGTGGTTATATTTTAAGATATTTGGACGTTTCTCCCCTGAAGGTCAATTTATATTTTTTTATAAGTAAACCTAGTGTATTTACTATTTAGGACCGTTGAACAATTTATGTTTCGGAAGCCGGGTGGAATAGTAAATGTACATCACTATAGTGATAGTGCGTATTCATTGAAGCTCTATAGATGAGCAACTGTTGCAAGTGCATCTATTAACATTTTGAATTATATAGAAAAGGAAGTTTCCTTATTAATGACAATATGTTAAAAAAGTTGAATGATTTGAAACGAAATATTTTACTTTCGAAGGATTATATAAAAAATATATATTATTTCAGAAACGTAATTACTAATTAACTGAAAATTAAAATTAAAACTATTTACTACTATTCACCGTAATCTGATTTATCCAAAACATTTCGGATACCTATCTTTATTTTTTACAGGCAGTGGAAATTTAACATCCTTAAATCCTTGTAACACGATACTTAACCGGGCCTAGCTTATAATCGTTTTTCGAATCCAAACATTCTGTCATTGTTGTCGAATTTATGTAATAAATAATAATAATACAACGTAATATTATGGCGTTGCGCCGATGACGCGGGTTGAATGAACAGCGGCGAGTCAAGAGACAAGACCCAAAAAACTCAAGTACTCAACTCTCTGTATCCTGTCCTGCTGCAGTGTCCATTTATACTATTACAACAACAGTTGGTTGTTATTCAATATCATAGGTACTAGTGGGTAACGTCATTATTAAACACAATACGGATAAAGTATGAGAAATACTTTCTGTTGAATACAATATAAACATTCTACACTACAACGTCTACAACGATATGACTATGGCAACGTGATAATGACTCATGTTGTTTCCATTTGTAATTAATAATTATAAACAAATTAGTACCGACCTCGGTACCTACAAAGTTGCGAATTCAAAAATATTTTCTACGTGTATGTATAAAATAAGATAGGTAGAACAATCAGACTTCTGTAGAAGAAATAACTAATAAGAATAAAAGTTGAAATCCTTATAATAAGAATTTGTTAATGACTAATGTTTGACTAATGTTCGCAAATTTGCAATAGGTACACTATTAACCTTTGAAGTTTATTACAGAACAATTATTATTGAGAAAAGTTTAAACTTAGATCTACGCTTCTAAATTCTAATTATTATGATTTTTTACCATGATTTATTGGATTAAAGGATCCTACAAAATGAAAGTTGATTTTGTTTTGTTAATGTTGTAAAAACTTCTGACTTGATCACCATATTATCAGTCTTCATCAGCGTGCATTTCTTCATTATTGCAACCCTCGCGCAGTTTCGTCAACTATAGCTTTATTCTTTTCTTCTATCCTTATATTTTAATGATTTGTTTTGATACTTTTTCCTACTCTCATTTTACAATAGGTTGAACCAATTTTCGCCAAAAATATTGTATTTTATAATGTACGTCATTGTAAGTATAAAATATAATAATATTCATCAAATGTTTCAAGTATCCGTGAATAATAATATTTGAAATATTCAATTCAATCGACTACGACTCAGGGAGTATTATCTGATCATGCTTACAAACTCGGTCTTAACAATTCCTTTCTCTGAACACTATACATTTAAATTAAAGCATTTGTAATCTCCCTCACATCATAGCGTCCTAGCGGTTTTCCATGCTAATCCATTAATCTTGTATTCTTGTTTAATTCCCTAAAAACCCTCAACATTCCTTTCGACCTTCCTTCCTTCCTCGAGCATTCCTTAACATTACCAATACTGAATCTGCCTTTAAAATTGTAATTTAATTTATTTTAGAAGCTGGTTTTATAATTTAATTTATTTGTTTTTATTCTATCTTGTATTTTATAGTGGTTGAGATATGATATATAGGTAGTTATGCTGTATGGCAACTTTAATAATAAAACAAATAATCTGAACCATCAACTTTTCAAGTGATTGTCCAGAAACAACACTATGACAACGCCTATATGTAATTTTCCGTCTCCCCTGGTATAATTTTCAAATTTTGGATACATAAATAATATAATATAAAAAAGTTATGAGATATAAAAGGATGTCAGTGAACGCGACTCCTGCCTCTCTTTATCTAAAGCCGCTTCACTACAGCTATATAGGTACTATAATAACATATACGTATATAAATATATAATATATAATATCTTCCTTTGTACATACGGAAACTATTTTATAATTTTACATGTTTACGACGGCCGACATATACATGTAAATTTGATAACGATGTTTAAAGGGAACTTTGAAGTACTTTGATCGCTCCTCGGGCACTGCTTAACTTTTATATTTTAACTACACTGAATTAAAAAATGTATTTAGAAATTTAATATGCAACGGACTACGGTATATATTATATCTAGGATTATGTATTGTTATACAAGTTACAATAGTACAATACAAATGCAATTTAGAAATTACACAACTAATTCAATATAATATTATATATTATAGTCCTACAAGTCTCTAAAAAATATAATATAATAAAAAAATCAAGTTCAAGCAGGAGTAGCTAGGATAGGGTTGCCATTCGTCCCGATTTCGCCGGGACACTACCGGTTTTTACTACAGAGTCCCGATATTTTTCATTTCCCGGCCGGGACATGCAGGATAAGTACCGGTTTCTTAAAATAAGATTTAAACAATACACATATTAGTAAATAAGTAAGACCACTCTGTTTTAAACTAAAAATTGTGTACTTAATTAATTTTTTTAGATAATTTAAAATTATATTTATGAATAAGATAATAATAATACTATTATTACATTTTGTGCTATTTCTAATTTTAGACTTTCTTATTTATTATAAATTATAATATAATAAAAATATT